AGGGCCCAGGCCACTCTTGCCCCTTAGCATCGACTGGGGGGCTTGTTCCGGTATGCCTAAAAGTCCCACATCGCTTAGGAGTCGATGCTAAGGGTAGTTTATAAACACTCTTCCTCCTTAACCCACCGAGGCGCCTTTTCAAGGACAAAATCGTGACGGCCCAACGAGCGCCAAAGCGGACAATACCTCGGATGCGGTGACCCTAACGATTACAGAGGACTTACGGTAGGAACATTAAATGTTTTTACCGGGGATCCGACGTAGAGATGATCCGCTGGGTAAGATCGGTGAGCCTCCTTCACTGGTACGTTTGATGCTCCAAGATGGGGGTGGTACCTGCAAAAGAGACTCCGATGCTAAAGTTAGTGTTTGTGGGTGTATAAGTCTCGTATAAGTAATGCATGTACCTTTGTGTGAATTAGGGTTTCATTGGGCCTTGGGCCTAAGATCAGTTTATGACCTATTTGGATGTCGAGCTGACGTGGCCTAGCGCGTGTCCGAGGTCACGCCGCACTGAGATGTCGAGCTCGAGCTCGGCATAGCGGTACGGATAGTATACTAGCCCCCCGAGCTCCGAAGACCGTGGGTTGAGGAGTTGATACCGAGCTTGGTAAAGGGTCGTGACTCTTGGCGTACGCTTCTCTCTCGTGATGCCATGTGTCATAAGTGTCACCTCGCTCCCCGAAACGCGCGGGCGGCGTGTTAATGGGAGGTGATGGTTATGTAGACGTACCTTGGTAATATTAGGGTTTTTACTGTCTACCGGCACATTGGCATTGTTAGGATTTTACCTTGTGATTGTGGCGCGGTGACAAAATTGTATTTTTATCTGTTTGATGACGTGGCCTCTTTGGGGCGATGTGGTATTCCGATATCCATGTTTCATGGCCGAGTTGAGGAACTCGGCAATAATGAGTTTACTGCTTGGTCAGGCTGGTAAACCCTTGACCGAGTCAATAGATTGGTGAGGGACAAGTCGACAACTCGGCTGGCCAGTACACTTGCCCCCCAAGCACCGAGTGATGTAAGAGCGAAGGGGCTTCTGAGGAGCTCCCAAATTTGTTGTTTGAAGGTTCAAATTCGACCTTGTTAAGTAGATGTGATCTTTAAGGGTCGAGCTCGACCTTGGTATATCAAGGTTCAAACTCGACCTTGGTTAAGAAAATGTAGTCTCAAGGTTTGGACTCGACCTTGGCATAACAAGGTTCGAACTCGACCTTGGTTAAGAAAATATAGTCTCAAGGTTCGGACTCGACCTTGGCATAACAAGGTTCGAACTCGACCTTGGCATAACAAGGTTCGAACTTGACCATGGCATCAAGGTTCGAATTCGACCTTGGCAACGTAATTTGTACTTGAAGGTTCGAACTCGACCTTAACATCAAGGTTCGAACTCGACCTTGGCAAGTCGTCATGGTTAATGTGCCAATACCGAAAATGTATGTGAATGAAGTTGCTTTGTTGATTATTTCTGAGGTGTGCCTCGTTAAAACCTTCCTTGGCCAAAAACCTTTTTCTTTAGTTGGAAAAAAGGATGAGGAGGAAAAAGAGTACATCACCTGAATTTACAAGTTAAGAGAAATAAAATTTGAGGTGGGTGACATTCCAAGTTCCGAATTTCCCTTCGGAGGGGTCTATTCTTGCCTCTCTCTCCCCACCAAACAAGGTCGCTAACTTTAAATGTTTGTGGCCTGACCTTGGTCTTGCTTTCCTTGTGGTTTGTCGCGAATCTGGTCATGAAAAGCAGAGTGCTCTTCCATCTGAATGTACCCTGCAACTCAGGCACGGAGTTCATCCATATCAAGAGGAGATCGTCGACACAGGCTGTCCATGAAAGGTCCAGGCTTGAGCGCCATGAACATGGCGTGCGGGGTTCAAGTTTCGAATCTTGACCGAGATACTGGCAAAGCGTTCCATGAACGCCCTTAGTGATTCGTCGTCGCCCTGTCTGAGACTGGCCAAGGCGGCTAATGTGACATGGTGAGGTCGACTCGTGGAATACTGCACCGTGAATCGCCTTACCAGAGTGTCGAAGTTGTCTATCGACTCCACCGACAGTTGAGTGTACCAGTTGAGCGCTGCCCCCTTGAGCGAGGTCGGAAAAACCCTACACAGAACAACATCGTCGTTAGTGTATAGGTTTACCTGCGTGACGTATAACTCGATGTGCTCGTCTGGATCCGTTGTGTCGTCGTAGCGGTCGATGTGGAGGGGCTTCCAGCCGAAGGGCAGAGGTGTCTCCATGATGCCGTCCACAAAGGGGTGGCGACGAATGCTCGCCCGATTTCCAAGGGCCTGGGCAGGAGCATTGCTGACTTCAAGAGCCGACCTGTTCGTCGATGCGTGAGACTAATGTGTGGCAGGTCTGGGAGTCGGTGCCCTAGGCACGGTTGGGGGTTGAGAGACCGAGTGTCCCTCCTCTTCGTGTTGACTACTCGGTTGAGGGGGCTGATCAGAAGGGCGCTGAGGAAGCTGGGCACGAATACGCTCGTTCTCGGCGCGCAGTGTCGCTAGGTCAGCCTCATTCGCGGTACGCAGTGCTGCTAGGTCAGTTTCGTGCTTGGCACGGATGTTTTGCAGATCAGCAGTGTGTTGCTGCCGCATCTGCTCAACCTATTTGATCAGTCTTCTCAATGCTGCTTCGTTGTCCATGCTTGTCGTGCGATCTATGTCATTTTTTTCTCGTCTACTATGACTTCGGGTGAAAACCATAACCATGGCCGATAAGAGCTGTCTTGATCGGCCCCACGGTGGGCGCCAAATATTCTTACCGGGGATCCGACGTAGAGATGATTCGCTGGGTAAGATCGATGAGGCTCCTTCACCGGTACGTTTGATGCTCCAAGATGGGGGTGGTACCTGCAAAAGAGACTCCGATGCTAAAGTTAGTATTTGTGGGTGTATAAGTCTCGTCTAAGTCATGCATGTACCTTTGTGTGAATTAGTGTTTCATTGGTCCTTGGGCCTACAATCAGTTTATGACCTATTTGGATGTCGAGCTGACGTGGCCTAGCGCGTGTCCGAGGTCACGCCGTGCTGAGATGCCAAGCTCGAGCTCGACATAGCGGTACGAATAGTACATACATTAAGTTGATATAATGTATAGTGATGTTTATGTTGCCAAGATGTAAGTTGATATATGATTAAGTTGTGAAGTTGTATAATGTTATAGTTGAATAAATTGTTAAGATGTTAGGCATGTGATGAAGATACATGTCTTAGTTGAGATACATAAAAGCTAGAGGAGTGTTATGTTATTTTAAGTTGTCCCTTATAGGATTTATGTGGAACAATATGTAGGTGTGGTTGATCCATATTATAGTTGAAGTGACCAACCGAGTAAGGTACAAGGTTGGGGGCTTAGTTCTAAATAAGCACTAGAAAGGTGTAGTATTTAAAGGGTAGTTAGTGGGCTAATCCCATAGAAAGTTTAGTGATGCAAGCAAATGTCATGGTAGGTTCATACCCAAGCTATTCTACCATGACAATAATTCTAGACTTCCTAATTTAAGTGGCGAAACTTGAGAAATCAATTTAAGTTGTATATTTGACACTCTAAAATGTCTAATGTTGTCTATACTTGACCTAGTTATGATAGATCAAACGTTGTAATTCGATAGGGTTTAACTACTTAGAATGCTCTTGTTGTAGGAGACCTTCATAGTTGATATGTGTGACAATGCATTAATTGTTTAAAGGTGTTTATGATGACATAATTGTTTGTGTTGTAAGTTGTTGCGATGTTTGTATGACAATGTTGTTAACAAGTTGAAATTTTCTAAGTTGAGTTGCATTAAATGTTGATTAAATTGTCTATGTTGTATTTTTGCAGGCTATTGTTGTGAAAGCTATGTTGGTTCTTTCAAAGCTTACCCTATTTTTCCCCGTGGTTGAAAGTATAATGATCATAAGGTGTGAGAGTAGAAAAAATTAGCAGGATAACTTATTCAATTGGTAAAGGGTCACGTGGTTGATGACCCATTTTTGGTGATGTCACTCTAACGTGACATGGTGGTTGTATAGAAACTTGACCAATGATTAAGAATCTTTTGTGTACAATTAGGTAGTTCATGTATATTATATATGTATACATGGTGTATATGTAAACCCATAAAGGAATTTATGTTTTTAGTATTATGTTTACTACCCTATACATGTATATATTACATGAATGATCAGGTAACTATTACATAAAAATCCTAGGATAGTTGAATGTATTTTAGTAGTTTTGTTGTATAGAACTGCGTTATACTAAGTATAGTGACTTGCAGGGATCATTACACTTTTATGGTATCAAAGATAGTCGAGTCTCTTTAGGGACACTTTGTAGGGTGGACCTATTGTACTTCTATATATGTTGCTATTGTTTGTTGTGTGTTACTTTATGGATTTATTAATCTCAGTATAAGAAAGTTTGACCCCAACATGATTAGATAGCTCAGGTCATGGAGATGATGACCATGATTATGCAACAACAAAATGCTCATTTTGCTCATATGGAAGTGAACATGATTACAATTAAGACAATTAGATCATTTGAGTCACAAGAGAGTAGGGACTTAGTTAAATTTAAGAAATGACACCCTCTTCAATTTAAGGAAGGTATAGATCTGAAGGTGACTGAATATTAGATCTACGAGATAGGAAAATCTCATTGTATGAAATAGTTTGATAAGATCTCATTCTAATACAATTCCTTGATTTTTTAATTTTTTTAAAATTCTGACTTTAATTTTAATTTTGAACACAATTTTTAAACGATAATCACATGTTAATTCAATTCCCGTAAAATCATTAAACATTAATTCAGCTATATAAAAGAATTGAAATCTTTCACGATTATGAATTTAAAAGATTAAAAATGAACTATTTTCTAAAATTCAAAGTACAGTTCACACTTTTTTTCATAGACCAATCAATTTAAAAAATATAAAAAAAAATCATATAAATAAATGACGAAACCGGAGACACAGAAGAGAGAGAGAGAGTGAGACATAGTAAAAAAAGGAAAAAAACAAGACAGTGGAATGCAAGAATATAAAACGCATCAAAGATTCGTTTCTGTACGCGACGCCCCGACCTCGATGTTCACCTCGGTTCTTCTCCACCCTCCGATCGCTCTCTCTCTCTACAAAGTTTATTCCGAATTTTGATTCTGCTCTCAGATTAGATCCCATAATTTTTCATTGTCACAAATCAAAACGCCATTCTCTATATATTCCCCCTCGAACTGTTTTCCCTCTCACACCCCCTAAACTCAAAACTCTCCAACACAAAATCAAAAAACAAATAAAAAAAATAAAAAAAAAACCCCTCACAGAAACTTGTTTCAATGCAATTCAACCAGAAAATGGGGTTACGTGAGTACATCGAAGCATTGGAGGAAGAAAGGAGAAAAATCCAAGTTTTCACCAAGGAGCTTCCTCTGTCGTTGGAGCTTGTAACGCAAGGTAATCCTCCAAAAGAATGCATTAAGGGATACCCTTTTGTGATGTCAAGTTAAAGTTTGTTCCTTTTGTTTCTGGGCATGTTCAATTTTTTATTTATTATTTATTTATGTGGGTGGATTTGATGCAGCCATTGAAGCGTGTAGGCAGCAATTGTCAGGAACGGTTGCGGAGTACAATTTGAATGGGCAATCGGAGTGTTCGGAGCAGACATCAATGGGTGAAGGACCTGTTTTTGAGGAGTTCATTCCTTTAAAGAAAAGGGTATCTCAAGATTCTGTTGAACAAGAAGATGAAGATCATGATGAAGATGAAGATGAAGATGAAGATGATGAACAACATTCTCATAGCCCCAAGAACACTGATAGAAAGAAATCAGATTGGCTCAGATCCGTTCAGTTGTGGAATCCCAATCCCCCTCCTACCAAAGAGGTAAAATTAAAATTCCAAAAAAGTATTTATTTATTTAGTTTTTATTCAGAAAACTTAAAAAATGTTTTTGGGTTTTGTTTTTTCTTCAGGATGTGCCTAGGAAAACAAATGTTGTGGAAGTGAAGAGAAACTGTGGAGCTTTTCAACCTTTTCATAGAGAGGAAAAAAGTGGTGTTGCAAAGGCTAATGCATCAACAAATGGTAAAGCACCCTCTTCACCACCAGTGCCTGCCACAAGTTCTACAGGACCAGTGAGAGTAGAGAGCAAAAGAGAGGAGAAATCACAGACTCAGAGGAAGCCACGCAGGTGCTGGTCACAGGAATTGCACAAGCGATTCTTGCATGCCCTTCAGCAACTTGGTGGTGCAGATTGTGAGTATCTTAGTTACCTTACCACAAATTCTTATGCATGTGCTTGTGCTCTAAATGCAAATTATGCAATTGTGTGTAATTAACTTTGTGTCAAATGTTTGATTCATGTTTGGTGCTTGTTGCAGCTGCCACGCCAAAACAGATCAGGGAGCAAATGAAGGTTGATGGCCTCACCAATGATGAGGTCAAAAGCCATTTGCAGGTTAGTTTCTCACCTTTTTGGCCATCTTAATTTCTTCCCCCATTTCTGTGTTCTTGCATAATTGCCAAAACGGAGTCTCAAAATTGGCTACTAAGGCATAATTGGGGTTTCCTATCTATTTGACTTAAATATTTTTTAAGTCCTTTAGTTCATTGTTAATCTTATTTTAAAAATAATCTGATGGATTGACGTAGTGGTATGCATTCACATGTTGACGAGGAATCTTGTGTGTTCATTCAGGACCATATGTGAAAACTCTTCTGATCAACAATAATCACAACACCATAAGTAAAATTAGTCTTTTGACCCAATAAATTAGAAGTATCCGAGGTAGGACAAAAAATTGTTTTGAAAATGATTTTTTTTTCATAGTATTTCTTATAATTGATAAATTTCACCCCTTTTTGTAAAATTTAGGATACTTAGGGTGAGGAATGAAATTTACTAGTTATGAAAAAAATATAAAGACCCAAATCATATCTTTAAAATATAAAAGATTAATTAAGAATAATTTTGATCAAAGACTTGTCTAACTTTTTTTTTTTTTTTTTTTTTTTTTTTTTTTTTTT